TATGACATCATCTTACCTTAACTAATTGTATCTGCAGCAACCTTATTTCCAAATAAATCACATTCTGAGCTACTGGGGGTTAGGATGTTAACATATGAATGAGAGAGAAAGGGACAGATTTCAAACCATAAACTGAGTAACTTCCACTGTTAAGGCAGTTGGACTATGGGACAGCTACCCAGGAATCCAAACTCAGGCTCACAGTCTCTAGAACCATGCTGCGGTCCCCAGCAGCCATATGCTGCTAGTTAGCTGAATTCAGACCCGGAATGTGGCTGCTTTGAACTGAGATGTGCTGTAAGTGTAAACAGCACACTGGATTTTTTTTTTTGAGACAGAGTCCCGCCCTATCACCAGGCTAGGGTGCGGTGGCGCGATGTCGGCTCACTACAACCTCAGTCTACCAGGTTTAAGGGATTCTCCTGACTTGGCCTCCCAAGTAGCTGGGATTACAGGTGTGCGCCACCACGCCTGGCTAATTTTTGTATTTTTGGTAGAGACAGGGTTTCACCATGTTGGCCAGGCTGGTCTCGAACTCCTGACCTCAAGTGATCCGCCCACTTCAGCCTCCCGAAAGTGATGGGATTACAGGTGTGAGCCACCACATCTGGCTGAAGGCTTGTATTTTAAAAAAGAGACAGGCCAGGTGCAGTGGTTTATTCTGTGATCCCAACACTTTGGGAGGCCAATGCAGGAGGATGGCTTAAGCCCAAGAGTTTGAGACCAGCCTTGCCAAGATGGCGAGACCTCCTCTACAAAACAAAAAAAATTAAAAATTAGCCAGGCATGGTGATGTGTACCTGTAGTCCCAGCTGCTCAAGGAGACTGAGGCAAAGGATTGCTTCAGCCCAGGAGTTCGAGGCTGCACTGAACTATGATCATGCCACTGCACTGCAGCCTGGGTGACAGAGGGAAACCCTGTCTCTGTTAAAAAATAGAATTAATTGAAAAATTAAAAAGAGCCATAAAATGCCTCAAAACTTTTATATTGATTACCTGTTGAAATGATTGTATTTTGGTTACGTTAGTTAAATAAAACATTAAAATTAGTTTCACCTGTTTACTTTTTACTTTTTAAAATATGGCTGTTGGGTGATTTAAAGTTACATTTGTGGGCTGGGTGTGGTGGCTCACGCCTGTAATCCCTGCACTTTGTGAGGCCGAGGCAGGTGGATCCCTTGAGATCAGGAGTTCAAGACCAGCCTGGCCAACATGGTGAAACCCTATCTCTACTAAAAAGACAAAAAACTAGACTGGGCATGGTGGCAGTCACCTGTAATCCAAGTTACTCAGGAGGCTGAGGCAGGAGAATAGCTTAAACCTGGGAAGCGGAAGTTGCAGTGAGCCAAGATCATGCCACTGCACTCCAGCCTGGGCAACAGAGGGAGATTCCGTCTCAAAAAAACAACTACATTTGTGGCTTGCGTTATATTCTATTGGACAACACTTTCTAGAAGTGCAGGTTGAATAGCCCTTACCTGAAATGCTTAGAACCAGAAGGGTTTCAGATTTTGGATTTAGGATTTTTTTTTTTTTTGGATTTTAGAATATTTGCATTATACTTACTGGTTGAGCATCCCAAATTTGAAAATCTGAAATTTGAAATCTTTGAACATCATGTTTCCTTCTGAGTGTCATGTTGGCACTGAAAAGCTTAAGATTCTGGAGCATTCGTAATTTGGGATGCTCAGCCTGTACCAACAGGATAGTGGGGGAACGCTGGGGACGGGCACACTACCTCAGCGTGCTTCTGGGAAGACTCCGTGAGGCTGGTGGCATTTGAAAGGGGTGGAGGAGAGTCTGTGTAGGCAATTAAGTGGGCTGTAGGGTGCCACTGGAGATTCTTGAGCAATGGCATGGAGGGATAAAAACCAGTTTCAAGAAAACTAGAATGGAAGTACCATGCAGGATAGACAGGAGTGAGAAAAGAGCTGACAAGAAGAAGAGTCAGAGGTCCGAGGGAGTGGTCACCAGGGCCTGCGTCATCTTTGGCAGACAGAGAATTGGAGTGAAGAAAATGTGAGGACAGAGGAGATCAGTGGAGAGTCACAAAGAGGGGAGGACAACATGTGGAGTAAGTGGGGGTCTGTTCAGGTGCTGATGGGAGACCCAGGGACACTGCAAGGAGCTCCCCACCCTCAGATCCCCACTGAGCAGTCATGGTGGGCAGTATGTCCCTTTCCTTCCTCCTTGTCCCCAATTTCCCTCCCCATCAGAGAGACAGAAAGGGGCAGAGGAGCCCAGAGCAGGGGGAAAGGAGGCAGTAGAGCAGTGCCTCGCCCGGCCCCCGTACATCCGGACCTGGAAAACCGCAATTCCCTGGGCACCCTTGAGCACTGGCCTAGGGGCCTGGACACCTCAGTCTTCATCCAGATTTCGTGCAGAAATGCTTTTGTTTCTCAGAGGCTATGCCAGGTACAACGCTTTAAGCGTGTGACACAGAACCCTGCTCAGACTGGGCACCTGATAGCCACTGAAAGACGAGTCGGGAGTCTGAAGACCAGGCAGGTCTTTGGAACCACATCGAGCTTCCCAGTTCCTGCTCTGTCACCTGTCGGTCTGTACAATCGTCAGCAAGTTCTTGAACCTTTCTGAGGCTCCATTTACCACTAATAAAAGAGGACTCGAGGTGCCTCCTCCCTGGTCTCACGCGGGCTGGACGCGGTGACGTGGGCTGTGGCCCTGAGCGCAGTGCCTGGTTCATGGCTGATATTCGTTAATTGCGCCCATGGAGACAGAAGGGCAGAAACGCAGTCCCCTCTCCGATTTCTCTTGGGAACTGTGGTCTTAGACGCTGGCCCTCATTTTCTGCCGGCGGTACCTGGTGTGTGTGCTGCCCCTCTCTCCCACCCTGCTGCCGGAGAACTTCCCAAACCTGGCTCAGATCGTGGCCGTTTCCCCCCATTCAAATATCTCCCGTGTAAGGTGTCAGGAAAGGGTCCAGTTTCTGCTTTCTGCACATGGCTAGCCAGGTTTCCCAACACCATTTATTGAACAGGGAATCCTTTCCCCATTGCTTGTTTTTGTCTGGTTTGTGAACAATGAGAACACATGGACACAGGGAGGGGAGCACTACACACTGGGGTCAGTTGGGGGGAAATAGGGGAGGGACGGTGGGGGGTGGGGAGCTGGGAAGAGATAGCAAGGGGAGAGATGCCAGATGTAGGTGATGGGGAGGAAGGCAGCAAATCACACTGCCACGTGTGTACCTATGCAACAATCTTGCATGTTCTTCACATGTACCCCAAACCTAAAATGCAATAAAATAAATAAATGGGGAAAACAAAAACAAAAACAAATATCTCCTGTGGCTCCCTATGACCTAAGGTCCCCCCAGCTCAGCACCCAGCAGTCATGCTCTCCAAACCCCTATCTACCTGCCTTTCTTGCTTTCTCTCATAGCTCGCCCATTGCCTACCATGCATTTCAGCCAACTCCTATTCCCTCCTATCCCCCATCCCTCTCCCCAGAAATACCATCGTTCTGGTAGCCCCAGGCCAGGAGAGACCTTTACGATGCACTTCCCCCCTCCTGCCCACCATCCCTGCCCCACTGGTCCCTGGTCCCTGGCCCTCCTTGCTGTCGCTCATACACTTCGTAGCTTGTCCATCCACCCACTCCATCTGCTTGCTTCCACAGCTCTTACGATACACTTCATCTGCCCCCAGACTGGAACCTGTGTTTTGCACACAGGTGACTTGAGAATGTTTATGGGATTGAAGTTGAACTGATTTTCATAAATACAAGAGTTCTCGCCTCTGCCCTAGTGTTGGCCTTTGCTGTGGAGATGCAGCGAGGCACAGCCGTGGGGGTGGGGAGAAAGCACCCTGTCTTTACACTGGGCCGCCTGTGGATCCAATCCCAGCTTTGCCTCTGGATTGCTCTGCGTCCTTTACCTTATTTCTCAGCCTCTCTGTGCTCCCCTAAGCAGGATCCTCTGTAACACAGAGATGACTAAATAGTGCAGGTGTATCCAGCCCCATGGCCCAGGCACTGTTCTGAGCAGGCTTCATACTCCCCCCCCACAACCCTGGGAAGTGGTTAACTAGTCCAGCACTCCCATTTTATAGATGAGGAAGCTGTCCTAGGAAGGGGTGGAGCAGAGACTCAGATTCTGGCTCCGGAGCTGGAGCTGTGGTGTTCAGATCCTACGCTCAGTGTGTGTGAGTGTGCTCTGTAAATGCTGAGTGTCCAATGTATGTAAGAGGTATGAGTGGAAACGTGGGTCATAATGGTCATCATCTGTCTCTGTGAATGAGGACACTACGTGTCATGTTGTCGGAGGCTGTGGAGACAGTCTGATCCCACTCATCATCCATAAGTTTTTTTTTTTTTTTTTTTTTGAGACGGAGTTTCACTCATGTTACCCAGGCTGGAGTGCAATGGCGCGATCTCGGCTCACCGCAACCTCCGCCTCCTGGGTTCAGGCAATTTTCCTGCCTCAGCCTCCTGAGTTCAGGCAATTTTCCTGCCTCAGCCTCCTGAGTAGCTGGGATTACAGGCACGCACCACCATGCCCAGCTAATGTTTTTGTATTTTTAGTAGAGACGAGGTTTCACCATGTTGACCAGGATGGTCTCGATCTCTTGACCTCGTGATCCAGCTGCCTCGGCCTCCCAAAGTGCTGGGATTACAGGCGTGAGCCACTGCGCCCGGCCATCCATAAGGTTTTAATCCCAAAGAGATCAGGTTCACGGGCTCCCAAATGAGCTGAGGGCCCCCAAAGGGCAGTAGCCTAACAGCCCTTTTATGAGACCACATAAGGCCAGGTGACACCTGTCAGGTGAGTCTAGGGTTGGCCAGCCCTTGGTTTCATGCAGGGACTTTTTTTTCTTTTTGAGACAGACTCTTGCTCTGTTGCCCAGGCTGTAGTGCAGTGGCGCAATCTTGGCTCGCGGAAACCTCCACCTCCCAGGCTCAAACAATTCTCATGCCTCAGCCTCCCAACTAGCTGGAATTACAGGCATGTGCCACCACGCCCAGCTAATTTTTGTATTTTTAGTTAAGCAGGGTTTCACCATGTTGGCCATGCTGGTCTTGAACTCCTGGCCTCCAGCAATCCTCCCGCCTTGGCCTCCCATAGTGTTGGGATTCGAGGTGTGAGCCACTGCGGCCGGCTATGCAGGCATTTTCCAAAGGCCTCTTACCTCTCTGTCTCTTCCCAGGAGTAGTGAGTGTGCCCAGCCAGCAGTCAGCAATCAACTAGCCCATGGTGGTCAGGAGGCTCTGGGGAGTCCCAAGTCTGCCCAGAAGGGCTAGCACTTTAGGCCACTGATGTAGTGGGGCCCCCACCCAATTCTTTTTCATTGATTGCAATGTGCTGCCATTACTTCTATAATGTAAGTGCTTATGATCTTCCGACCTCTCTGTGTCTGACCATTAGCTAGAGGGGATATTCAGCAATGTTGGGAGACATTTCTGGTTGTCACAGTGGCCGGCATCTAGTGGGTGGAGACCAGGGAGCTGCCAAACATCTCACAATGCCCAGGGCAGCTCCCGCCCCTGCCACACACACACAACAAATAAGTATCTGGCCCCACATGGCAACAGTGATAAGGCTAAGAAACCATGGTCTGTAGAGAGCCCCACAAATCAGACTCTCAGCACAGGAGGGAATACGTGCACTGGGGACTGGCATCCGGAGAGGGGCAGTGATTTGCCCGAGGACACACAGGAAGCTATGATACAGATCAGTGCTCAGACTCAGGGGTCCCATCTGGTGAGTTCGTTTTTCTTCTTCCTTTTAAAAAATCTAATGGTGGTTTTTAGTAACTTGTAAATAACTTTTGTCAGTTAATGTTCTTTTAACGTCAAGGCGGTACAATGAGGGGCATCTGCCCCGGAAAGCACCGTGGTTGCGGACACAGATGCAGGCAGAAGGGAAGTCATGGTAGCTTGTGAACAGGGAGAGATTTCAGCTGTGGCCAGCCCGGTAGCCCTTGCACAGGTGGGAGTGTCCTGTTGGGGCCCTGCCACCTGGCAGGTCTCTCTGGGGCTCGGCCAGATGAAGGAGGAAGGCTTCACTATCCAGATTTGCCCCAGGGTAAGCGGCCTTGTGGGAACCAGGCACCAGCCGCAGGCAGGGACACCACGGGATCTTGGCAGGGGACAAGAGCAAAGCAGGGGGGCGGGAGAGCTGGAGTCACTCCAGAAGGTGAGAGTAAGGGACCTGGTTCTCTGCAAGAACAGCATTGTTCGGGGCCCCTTACTCATGCCTCCTCTCCCGGCAACCAAGAAGGAATGAATGGGTACATGAACAAATGAACGATGGATGAATGAATGCATGGCGGAGGCGGCAGGCCCTGAACCGCTCAGTGGGATTCAGTGCAGAGATGTGCAGACTTCTTAGACAGGAAGAATCCCCTGACACCCTCCCTGGAGATTTCGATTTAATGGGTCTGTATAGGGCCTGGCCGTCCTGGATTTTTGGATTGGGCACATCTGGGGAATACTCGGAGTGGAGCGGAAACACAGTGGAAGGTATATGCAGGCAGACAGCCACACCTGGCCGGGCACTCCCATGCTTGTGACCTGGGCGCACACCGCCCTGCACGCTGCTTTGCTGGTGGGTCGGATGGTATGATAGTCAGTACCTTATAGGGCTGTCACTGAGTGCCCGTGTGTGCCTGGTCACGCCCGGTCCCTTGGTCCTCAGTAGGTGCCAACAGTCACAACTACAGTAACAATGACAGGGTCATGCGGATCCAGACACTGCACTGCGCTTTCAGCTGACCAGCTGTGTGACCTGGGCAAGCCCCTTAACCTCTCTGATCCTGAGCTCCCTCCTCTGTCAAATGGAATTAAGAATACTCTCATTGAGGAGCTTCATGATGAGGTAAGGAAAGTGCCTGGCATACTGCCAAGCTGCTAAGGGATCAGTAAATGCCCATCCCCCAGCCCCACCCCAGTTCTTTCCAGGAATTTGAGAGACTCCTTCCCCTGTGTTGGAAAGCAGCAAAGTCTGACACATGTGCCTCATGACACTGACTCAGGACAGATCCCGTGGCCAGCAGGTCACGCAGCCCCGAGGCCGGCTTGTCACTGCCTTTTCCCGACTCCTGGGCTCCAGCAGGTGGACTGACTCCTTCCCTTTTCAGACCTGCCTCAGAAAGTCCATGGAGCCCTGGCTGCTACTGGGCCACTCAAGCCTCACCAGTCTTGGCCCTCATCTGACAAATGGGAAAGCTGAAGCCCAGAGGGTCTTTGACATCCCTGAGGGCACACAGCAAGTTCCAGCAGTCTCTTTCTGCCAGTTCCAGAATCTTTGTCCCAAAGAGTTCGTGTCTCTCTGCTAAATAGATGGTTTTGTTCTTTCCCTTCTTCCTCTTCCTTCCTCGGCCTGTCCCCCGCCTCTTATTCTGTTTGTCTCATGGGAAGTCCCATAGTGCCTCATGTAGACCCCCCCCTTCCCCTCCCTGGACTCTCAGGCGCGGGAAATGATGAGTTTCCCGGGAATCTACATCATGATGACTCGTCCCTTCTGTGTCTGGGCCTGGCTGAGGCTGCTGCTGGGATGGTGGATGAGTTCCTTCAGGGCTTTGCGTGAACTGGGCCTGAGCCAAGCCCCTAGATGGGGAAAACAGGCCACATTGTTCTAGAGCGCAAAGGACATTAGCGAGAAAAGCCACGTGACCCATGGCCGCCCACACACCCACATCTCCACGCCCTGTGCCATTTCTGCCCCCTGCCAGGTGCTGGGCGGTTTCCTCTGCACTGTTTCCCTTGACCTGCTGCTCTGAGGTCGTGTGCCTGTTGTCATCTGTTAAAGCCTCAATTTTTTTTAAATTGTACTTTAGGTTCTGGGGTGCATGTGCAGATCATGCAGGATTGTTGCATAGGTACACACAGGGCAAGGTGGTTTGCTGCCTCCATCCCTCCGTCACTTACATCTGGCATTTTTCCCCATGTTATCCCTCCCGAACCTCCCCACCCCCAGCTGTCTCTCCCTTAGCCCTCGACAACAGACCACAGTGTGTGATGCTCCCCTCCCTGTGTTCATGCGTTCTCATTGTTCAACACCTGCCTATGAGCAAGAATATGTGGTGTTTGGTTTTCTGTTCTTGTGTCAGTTTGCTGAGAATGATGGTTTCCGGATTCATCCATGTCCCTGCAAAAGACATGAACTCACCCTTTTTTCTGGCTGCATAGTATTCCATGGCGTATATGTGCCACATTTTCTTTGTCCAGCCTATCATTGATGGGCGTTTGGGTTGGTTCCAGGTCTTTGTTATTGTCAACAGTGCTGCAGTGAACATATGTGTGCATGTGTCTTTATAATAGAATGATTTATAATCCTCTGGGTATGTTAAAGCCTCAGTTTTATTGCCATTTCCCAGGTGACCCCTAGCACACTCAGGCTTGAGAAGTGCTGCTGTGGTTCATTCTCCAGCACTCTCTCCCTAGTCCTCTAAGGAGAGCATGGGCTCTGTCCAGAGAAGGCCTCCAACCAGACCATGTGGCCAATGGGGCAGGCTGGCGACACTGCCTGTTGACGGTGGATGGATAGGCTCTGCCTATCCATGACCCTGGACAAGTCACGACCCTAGACAAATCACATCTTCTCTCTGAGCCTCATTCTCCTGTCGTTGCCAGGGGAAGACATGTAAAAGGGACCACATCATGTCCCAGGAGGCCACTGGCCATCTAGAAGGAGAAGCAGGCCACCAGGAAGGTGTTAGCCACCAGAAGGCTCTTTCCTGGGGCCCAGGCTGGGATCGAGGGCTACATGCAGAGGAAATGAAGGCTGTCATAGAGCTGTCCAAAGGGGGCCTGAACTAGCCACAAGCTGCCCCGTTCCCTAGTAAAGCTCGCATCTGTTCTATTTTCAGGTCCCCTTCCCACCCTCTCCAACGGTAGCTGAGTTAAAGCAAGCTGACTGGCCTGCGTGACCAGAGCAGAGCAGGCTGTCCCTGTGGGAGGCGAGGCAAGGGACGTGGGGCTGGGGCACTTGCAGCTGAGCCCCCGGGCGGGTGGAGGCCTGGAGTGGTCGTTCACGCGTCTAGCCCGGTGTGGCAGTGGCAGGCAGGCTCTGCGTTCAGCCCGCTGGCTTCAAGGCCTGGCTGCCACTAACTAGCTGTGTGGCTGTCCCAGCTATCAAATGGTGCTTAGCAAATCACACCAAAACTTACCGGTTCAAACAACGTTAATACGTATTTGGCTCAGCTGCCTGCAGTTTGGGCAGGTGATCTGCAGTGGGGACAGGCGGTCAGTTAAGGCACCTTGAAGGCTAGGGGCTGGACCCATGGGAAGATTTGCTCGCCCACCTGTGTGGTGGCTGGTGCTGGCCTGCTGTGGCCACGTTACTGTCTCGGTGGCTCTTCCCCATGGTTTCTCCAGCATGGTGGCTTTGGGGTGGCCAGACTTTTATTTATTTATTTATTTTTTTGAGACAGAGTCTCGCCCTGTCACCCAGGCTGGAGTATAGTGGCATGATCTCAGGTCACTGCAATCTCCCTCCCAGGTTCAAGCAATTCTCCTGCCTCAGCCTCCTGAGTACCTGGACTAGCCACGATGCCCAGGTAATTTTTGCATTTTTAGTAGAGACAGGGTCTCACCATGTTGACCAGGCCTGTTCTTGAACTCCTGGCCTCAGGTGATCCACCTGCCTCAGCCTCCCAAAGTGCCGGGGTTACAGACATCAGCCACCATGCCTGGCTGGTGGCCGGACTTCTTATAGAACTCTGGTCCTGGAGAGAAGTCACAGAAGTCATACAGCCCAGCCCAGATGCAAGGGGTGGGGAGTTTGATTCCATCTTTTTTAAGAAGAGTTTCAAGGAATTTGCAAACTTGTTTTAAAATCATCAGTGTAAGCTTGGGCATGTTACTTCTCTGCATGTCAGATGTTTCCTTTGTAAAACTCAGTCCAGTGCAGCGCGCCCTCCTCGCTGTTCGTTTTCTGTGGCTGCCTTAGGAAGCCATCAACCATCAACTTGGTGGTTCACAGCAACACAGATATATCCTCCTACCGTTCTGTAGTTTCGAAGTTCAGCGTGGGTCTCACTGGGCCAAAATCAAGGTGTCAGTGGGGCTAGATCCCTTCTGGATGCTCTGGGGAAGAATCCATTTCCTTGCCCTTTTTGGCTTCTAGAGGCTGCCTGAATACCTTGACTCACGGCCCCTCCCTCCATCTTCAAAGCCAGCCACAGCCTGTTTTCCTCACGTGGATTCCCTCTGACCTCCACATGTAAGGACCCTCGCGATGATATTGGGCCCACCTGGGTAGGCCAGGCAATCTCCCATTTGAAGGTTAGCTGATTAGCAACCTACATTCTGCCCGAAACTATAATTCCTCTTTGCCAGGTAATGTATTCACAGATCCTAGGGACCAGGGCGTGGACATCTTTGGGAGGTCATTATTCTGCCCGCCACAATAGAGTTGTTGGGAAGATTAAACAACATAATCTACATGACGTATTTTGACGCACGCTTGGCACCCGGGAAATACTCAGGCCGTTCTAAGCACTGCTCCTACACGGTTCAGCTCCTGGAAAAGTCCAGGCGGGCTTTTGGCACAGACTGAAGCTATCGAGTGTGAGGAGGGACCTAGTCCAGTCGCCTCTTTTCAGAGATGATATATTTGAAGCCCAGGGAGAGACGATCATTTGCCCAAGGTCACACAGCCAGTCAAGGAGGGGTTGCTGCCTTGCCAGCCCCAGACCTACCCGGAAGATGCTGGGTCATGTAGGGGTGGGCATTTGTCTTCCTGGCCAGATCCTGCAGCTCCTGAAAGGCAAGCTGGTGGTGGGTCATGATCTGAAGCACGACTTCCAGGCGCTGAAAGAGGACATGAGCGGCTACTCCATCTATGACACGTCCACCGACATGGTGCTGCGGCGTGAGGCCAAGCTGGACCACTGCAGGCGCGTCTCCCTGCGGGTGCTGAGCGAACGCCTCCTGCACAAGAGCATCCAGGTGAGAACCTCCTCGCCCCTCCCCCTCCCCCTTCTTCCCCTCCTCTCTCTCCCCCTTCTCCCCCTTCTTCCTCCCCCTCCTTCCCCCTCCTCACCCACCTCCATTTCCTCCCCCTCCTTATTGTCCGCCTCCATTTCCTCCCCCTCCTCCTTCCCCTCCTCCTTGCCCTCCTCCCCATTCCTCCTTGCCCTCCTCCCCCTCCCCTCCCTCCGCCTCCTCTTCCCCTTCCCCCTCCCCTGCCCCCTCCGGGCAGCCTGCCCGAGGCATTGCTGGCAGGTCCTGCTGTGCCTGGTCCCTGGCAGGTACAGTAAGGATGGGGGCAGGGAAGGGAAAACACCCAAAAAGGTTTGCTTTTGTGGAAATCAAGCCAGTTACCCTGTGGGAAGTGAAGCTTGATTCCACTATAGAGCTCTGAGCAATGGTGTAAAGCACACACCTCACCTCAGATGTGTTCCACAGCAGGATCCAGGGAGCTGGGATATCTGTGCACCATCGGCCACAGCTCCTGCTGCTCCTGGGCACTGATTCCGCAGCACTTCTGGCTGGCAGGCAAAGCAGGCAGGAAAAGGCATGCGGATGTGGGGGGTTGCGAGTTGACCCTGTGGGAAGGGCAGAGGGAGAGGGGCCAGACACTAAGAGCCAGGGCTGTGCGCAGCGACCCTCCAGGTCGACACCTCTTTCTGAAACACCTGCTCCCTGCCAAGCTGCGCCAAATCCTGGGGATGCAGGGTGAGCAAGACCCGTCCCTGTCCCTGAGTTCTTGGTTGGTTGGGAGATGGCCCTTAACCAGGTCATCGGCACACATGGTAGAGTATCTGACGGAGGGAAGGGAAGTGCCCTGGGAGCAGGATGAAGGATGGGGCTGGCAGGGCCGGAGACCAGGTCTGAACAGAGCCTGAAGGGTCTTAGTCAAGAAGGGCAGAGGAGGGCATATGGAGTGGGGTCTGGGCGAGCCAAAGCCTGAGGCTGGGGGAGGGGCTGGGGAGCAGGAAGCCCGCCCTCACCTGCTGGCAGGAACTGTGGGAACCCTGTCCCAAGCAGGGAACAGGCCTGGGTTTGGCCCTCTCTGTTAGCCTCGGGGCACAAAAGGCACATAAGGCCCAGGCAGGGCTTTTCCTGGAGCCCTTGTCACTCTGTGGCTCCCAGACCCAGGGGCCCCTCCCAGGCTCTGTCCCTGGGCTCATTAAGCCTGGTTGTTCCAGAAGCTCAGAACCCTGCCAGGCAGCTCTCACCTGCAGGGTTGCCCCTAGAAACCAGCCCTCTAGCCCTCCTCACGTGGGCAGTGGCGCTACTGATCACCGTGACGGCAGCTGACCCACAGGACACAAGGAGCTAACGTGGTAGAGTGGTCACAGTTGGGCAGTGATGTTACTGCCCCCCTGAGGGAGTGGAACGGCAGGCCTGGGGCTCCCGGCCGAGCTGCGTGCATGGAGGATGGGGCTGCACAGAAAGGAAGGGCGCTGCCGTTTATCAAGCCCTGTGCAGGGTGCCTAGCAGTGGGCATGCTCTCATTCCAACCTCTAAGGCAGGTATCATCAGGCCCATTTTACAGAAGAGGAAACAGAGGTCCAGAGAGGAAAAGTGGCTTGCTCACTGTCACTTATGCCCACAGGGGAGCTGGGAACTGGAATCTGGGTTTGTCTGATTCCACATCTGGGGCTCTTTACCTCCCTGCTTGGTGATGAAGGATGCTGAAGCTCTGCTTCTGTTCTTGGCTTCCTTCTCCAAAGAGCAGAGTGGTAGAGCATGTAACCTCCCTGTGCCTCAGTTTCCTCATCTGTCAAGCAAGGATGGTGATAGAGGCAATTATGCAGAGGCACAGTGTGGACGACGCCACCATGCTACCTGCTTGCGATAGTGTCCAAGCCAAAAAATAAAACATTAAAAAATAACACAGCGTAGTGAAGGCAACAAGAAAAAGCCTTTTTGAGTGGCCGCTGCACCAGGTATCCCCAACCCCCTGTCTGCAGTGCCTGGAAAAGGAGCCGCTGTGAGCATAGGAAGGCCTCTCTCGACAGAGGGACACCAAGAAGATGCAGCCAGGTTCAACAGCCCACTGGCTCCCATGCTGGGTAGTGGCCAGGATACCAGGCCTGAGCAGGGGGCGTGAAGGGAGAGGACAGGTGACTGGAGTGAGGACTTGCCCCACATCCCTGCCTCCTCAGCTCCACAACTGGCTGGCTTGTGTGTGAGCCTCAGTTTGACCGTCGGTGAAATGAGGGAATAAGCATATCCAACTCAGAGGTTTAACTTCAGCCTAGTGCACGGAAGAGCTGGTAAATGGTCATCGCGTCTCCCTTGAATAGACTGAGGGCTCCCTGACTCCCACAGCACTACCCCATAAGGTCTAGGCTCCTGACGTCGGCATTCAAGGCCTTCAGTGATAAATCCAGGCCCACTACCCCTCCCCACACTGTCTTTCACACACCCCCCGCCCCCGGCCTTACAGCTCTCTTATTTTATCTGCACACGCTCTCCCTGCCTCTAAATGCTCGCAGCCTTTCCTCTCGACGCTGGCGTCCTGCGTTCCCTCTGAGCAGCCCTTCCCCGTGTCCCTAGCTGGAGTTCCTCACTTCCTTCTCGGTGTTCTGAAGCTCCCTGTTAGAGTTGCCGGAGCCACGTGTGTATCTGACAGCAAGTCAGCAGCCTCTACTTCCCTCGCGGGACTGCAGGCGACAGAGGCACAGCCTGGCTCCCAGGTGGCGGGATTTTGTGCCCCTGGCCCCAGAGCTGCAGGCAGGCCAGCTCCAGCCACCTGCTGAGTCTCAGAGTGTCAGAGGCCTCGAGAGACTCCCCCACTGACCCACCTGGGGACTCTGGAAATCGGGATGTGGGCAGGGAAAGCCCTGACACGGGGCCTCTGAATTCAGCCTCATCCCAAGTCCCCACTCTGTACTTGTGTCTGCAGAACAGCCTGCATGGACACAGCTCAGTGGAAGATGCGAGGGCAACGATGGAGCTCTACCAAATCTCCCAGAGAATCCGAGCCCGCCGAGGGCTGGCCCGTCTGGCCGTGTCAGACTGAAGCTCCGTGCAGCCCGATCCCCAAGGACTAGAGGATTTCGGCTTTTTGGGACAGCAACTACCTTGCTTTTGGAAAATACATTTTTAATAGTAAAGCGGCTCTGTGTTTTCTCTACGCCATCCCTGGGTCCTCTTCTTGTTCTTTCTTTCTCTCTGAGCTGGGTTAACCGTGGACAGGACACAGTCTGTGTCAGTCTGTGTGATACTGGGAGGGAATGAAGTCTTATGAGGGGGAGGTGGGCAAGTGTCAATTTCCTTAATACCTTGAATCCTGTCGGTCCAAAAAGTGGCTTGGGAATCTAAGTAGCACGTGGCTTAATTACGAATCCCACACTTTGCTGCTGCACCCCAACCCTATTCCTGGTGCATTTATGCCCAGAGGGGTGGCATTATTTCCTGGAGTGGCATTCAGCTCATCTTGAGCTTGGTGCCACAGCATTAGTGGGCTGTGGCTTTGAAGCAAAGATACATTTGTGGGCTGTGGCTTTGAAGCAGAGGTACAGGAAACATCAAGGGTGCTACCCTGGTGACCTTGAGCAAGTCACGCTTCCTATTTGTAAAATGAGGAAGCAAAGGTAGTGAACTGTGGAGTCAGAGAGAAGCTGGCTGAAATCCTGTCTCTGTCATTTAGTAGCTGTGTGACCTAAGGTGAGTTACTGAACTTCTCAGTTTCTCCATCTATAAAGTGAGAATTCTAACAACTCTACAGTATTTGTGAGATGTCGCGTGCAAAGCCCCCAGCACCATGCCTGTCCGAGCTTAAGCACCCACCAGGTGTCGATAAGTCATTGTTCTTCCCTGGACCGCTTTCAGACCTAGGGGACCCCAGGGAGAGTCACTGCACGCTGTTTCTGGGCTCAGCTTCTGAGGGGAGGGCGTACTGTATGGGGAGGAGGCTGTGGGCCAGAGCTCTCCCTGGCCTCTAGAATCAATTGCAGAGTTCTTGTTATTTTAATAATAATAATTTTAGTGCATTCACTAAACAGAAGTTATTAGAATGGTGCCTGGCAATTTTTGTTTTCCTTTTTTCTTTTTTTTCACCCAGGCTGGAGTGCAGCGGCTGGATCTCGGCTCATTGCAACCTGCCCCTCCCAGGTCCAAGTGATTCTTCTGCCTCAGCCTCCCAAGTAGCTGGGATTACAGGCATGTGCCACCATGCCTTGCTAATTTTTGTTTTTTCAGTAAAGATGTGGTTTCGCCATGGTGGCCAGGCTGGCCTTGAACTCCTGACCTCATGTGATCCACCCACCTCAGCCTCCCAAAGTGCTAGGATTACAGGCGTGAGCCACCGCACCTGGCCAAGCTGTTCACTTTTTAACCTCCACAGGTGATTCTGGCCTTGGGGTATTTGAGTCACCTGTGGTGGTTTCTCAGCCAGACTGGTACGTGAGCACAGCTTTCTCACACTACAGCCAGCATCTGCAGAGTTTCAGATTCAGATTGCAGTGGAGCTCAAGAATGGGCAAGTTCCCCATTCTACCAAGTTCCCTGCTGCGTTTGCTGCTGCTGCTGACCTGGAGACCGCACTGCCTAAGCATCAGGTGATGAGGATGTGCAGCAGCAGTGGAGAGCTGGCCCCAGGGCTGGGGGCCACCAAGGTGCATTCAGTCATAGGTCCCGCCTCTCCCCATGCTGCCTCCCTATGCGGTCTGTTCATGCAGAGAGGTCCACAGCCCAGCAAGATGGGTCCCAAATAGCCCACTGCACAGATGAGGGACTCCAGCAAGGTTAAGAATCCACAAGGTTCCAATTCAGACCTACCTGATCCC